GAGGAAGGAATATGGAGACGCTAGCGATTGGTCTCCGCCTCTCAACTCTTCCCACCGAACGCAATATAAAAGCTGGAACCCTGTCATCAAAACCTCTTAGTAAGCAAATACACACACTCCATATCTCGAAGATGGCAAAGTGTCCGCGTACTTCATTTGATTGTGACGCCAGCACGTTCTGATAGGATAATACCGTTTAGGGACAATTTTAGTCACGCCGTTGTCCAGCACGAGGCAGGATGTCAGTGGTCCCAAATGGAAGTACCCACGAAAACCGCATCCCAAACCACTCTAAAATTACGTACGCAGCCACGCCCTTTCCGTACCTGGGGATGCAGACATAGGTGCTAGCCCAAAATGTGTCCACAGTTCAACTTTTTAATACCGATGTTACGCGTAGGGACATGCCAGCTTTTACGAGACCCTCTTGACATGCAGAAGAGGGGAGGGACGTTTTCGAGGTGGATGGACCTCTTTTACCTCTGTGTCACCAGAGCCCCCACAGTGAGCAGTAGGCAAGAATCATCATCCCCGGACCAGCTCCCTCCCCATCATTGCCGAAAATGCTGTCAACTTGCAGGAAGTCGTATGAGTGAAGAGAGCCTTTTGTCATTTACGCGTTGTGAGACGTCATCCGACGTCGTGGCATATGCTGTCCCGTAACGTCTGGACTGGGCACTTATACTGGACTGAAACCTAAGTATAGTCTGGTTCGCTGTGCATGAAGGAACGTATCAGGCTTGGCGCGGCGCTAAACTCGTTCTGAGTTGTTGAAGCAGGTAAGTGACAACAATTGGTAAAAAACGATTGATAACTGATACGAAGGATATGATACAGTCTTTTCGCTTGTTTGCTTCAAGAACTGGTGGAAAACGGGTTTAGCGCCGCTCCAAGCCCATCATCCTGACAAGCCTGTTCATCCGCACCGAACAAGACCGTAAGGGCTGCGTTGGCTAGCCCAGGTATAATTGTCGACCAATGGGTATAGATCGAATATTTCAGTTGGTCAAGCGAACACACCAATATTTCGTCCAGCAGATGTCGAACAGGTTATACAAAGATATGGGCAGTTGGTGGAGAAATTTCAGGTTATTTTTCTGATGTACCATGCTCTTGTTTTCCTCTGACCGACTTCGATTACTACAATTGTAGTTTGACCAAGCACGAGAAATCATCGAGCAGTACACTCAGTCGACATCGAGGTCTGTGGTGATTATCAACGAAAAGGATGTTTCTTGGGCTGCCCTTCTATCTTCCTTAGTCTTGGTAGGTTTCCCGAGTTCTGATGTAATTCGTCCTCAGAGCCTTTTTGTCCTTCAGATTGCAAACTGTGATAAAAACTACTATCTCCTTTCATTTCTGCAACCTAGAGCATTCTTCCGAAAAGAAAACGCACTCAAAAATCAGTATTACCAGATCAGGTCAGTTTTTATGTCGCTGCCTTCCCTTCGATTGATTTGATTGATTATTGAGATTCTGTTCAGTGAAAAACTAGTACGAGCGTGCCCCGCCCTGCCCTTCAGCGGCTCTTTTCCCGTTGGTGGCTCTTAGTTCCGCTGGCATTAGGCTGATCCCATACTGCAATGCACACCGTGCAGGCAAGTACGTGTTAGCCCGTGTGGCGAAATGATGAGACCAATCTATCAACGACTATTGCAGTCTGGGTGGGTTTTGGTATAGCGTTCATCGTATTTTCTACCTCTCTGTTATCTGTGTTTTATCATTTAGCCCTCTTCCGTGAGTGCTGAGTAGACTGTCTAGGTAGGTAAGCATCTTGAGAGCAAAAAATGCGCCCGAGAGTGAGAACTAGGTCATAGTAAGTAGTAGAGAGAGGAAGGAATAATGCCTCGTGGCCGGCGGCTAATCACTTTGCACGCGAGACAAAGCTGTGACAAACAGCGAACACCGTGCGAAAGGGAACAGCTTTAGGATCTAGATGAATCCTTGACTTGGGAATATTCCGAAAGGAATCAGATCACCAATCTGAGCATCGCCCTTTTGGGTTCAGATTTGAGATTTCACGACAAATATCGATATTCCAACTGATTCCATTATTCCTTCTTGCACATTATCCCGATCACGAAATCTTCATATAGGAAAGTATAGGTTCCTTTCTGCCGATCCCTCCGATCCACCATGCCGGGTAAACTCTTCGGACTGGAAAAGTATATTCTCAGCTGTGAAGATAATAACGTTGCATTTTATAAATGTTTCATTTTTTTGCCGTAAAACCTTTCTCTAAAGGTTCTTTGGTTAACTTCGACAGAGGCAGTCACCAGACCGCACGGTGGGGGCAATGCACCCGTTCGTGTTAGTTTGGGTTGGTAATTCTACAGCAAGCCTGAACAAGTTGCTGACAATGACTGCAACATAGGCTCGCGCCCTTCCGCTCATGCGGTGGTGATCCAGCTACTGAGAGTGACGATCCAGTCTGAATGTCAAAGAGACTGTTAGGTGGAAAGTTCCATAGAACGAGAGCTGTAAACGTTTTTTATAATTCAAGTGTTCCTGTCGATTTGGTTATTCAGGTCAAGTTATTTCAAGCATGCGGCGAATGTCATATATCTCTGTACCCTAATTACCATCTTTCTTACCTGAATTTGGGCTCTGAAAGTTGCCAAGGTACAGCAGTAGCCAGAAAGGTTAGCTAAGTCATGACGTACACATGATGATCGATGATTTGGTGGTTGGCGTACGGAGGATTTTGAATAAGACTACTGATTACAAGTGTTTGTTCAGGTTGTCATTTTTTCAGCAAATGACCGAGTCATTCTGTGGGATTCTTTGCATGCTCGTGGAGTTCGAGTATCAGAAATGTTGAAATCCTGTCATCATCACTCGTTGTTTTCAATGGCTCATCTTCTTTCTGGCGAAATTGACGTTTTGCTGCTTCTTGTCTCCGCACAAATTCACATCTCTAATTGCAAGGTACTTCTTTTTTTCATATGATTTATTGATTTGTCATGGCTACATTCTATGTACTAGTTTCCCTGCAGATGTTTGAAAGCCTTCTACAACTGAAAGAAATCAGAGAGCGATTCGATTATTGGGTACGCGATTCGCACTGCTTGAATCCTGTGAACAAATCCGTGTTCTACTTTTTCAGGTACGTTTTTGAGACCTTTATGTGACTATTACGGTGAAACTAATTACGGTTTCGCAGAGTCCACAAAGTTTCTAAGCTATCGCACTCTTGATTTGATAAGGGTCTAATGGTAAGATTGCGTTCATACTTAGGCCAGCATTTTGAGCTACTTCCTAAACGCTCAAAAGGCTGAGTATGAACGCTCTGTAAGACTCACATGTCGTGAAAGGATCGATGGGAATAGTTTTTCGAAGGCGCTGAAGTGTTTTGGGAGAGAATGCTCACGCGCGGAGAGGCGAAACTAGGGTGCCCACTCTAGTAGTCCCCACTTTTCTAAGGCTGAGCCTACTGGGAGGAATCATCACTATCTCCGTGGGAAGCCCGACGCCCGAAGTAGCGCGTGATCCCTTCCTCTCTCAACTACCCTACCGCCTCCTCTTTCCATTACTTTCAGCAGCACCTATGTATCCCATAGAACATGCCTTCGGAAATCCGTTTTTCTTCAAGGTCGACTGAAAAATTGCCTCGAAATCGTCTGATAAACTGGCTGATCCAGTTCTACAACTTATTGATGGCCAAGTTTTCTCTGTATTTTACAAATGTTCTGGCGAATTTTTGTAGTGTGGACGATCTGAAGGTAAGTACAGGTTTCATCGTCATCACTGGTGAATACGCTGTTACTAAGCCTGGACATTTTGGTGCGTTGATAGGTTCTTATTCCCACACTGGGATAAGATCACCGAAAATCCTTTCACCAACTCTGCGGCAAGCACCAAATCTCCCTCTTCTCCATGCTTGCGGTTTTGAATGCCTTGGCTCTGCGCCAAAGTGCTTATTCTTATTGGAACAGCGTTCCGGATACAGTAGACAACGCTAAATACTACATACTAAATAACGACATACTAAATATTCAGAATTCCAGATAATTCACACAATTGACAATGGATATAATTTCATATCGAATGCTACGCAGATTGTGAAGAAAACCGATGCTATTTGCTTGGCGATAGTTATGGATAGGGAAACTTGTACCGAAAATTTTTATGGTCGGTTCATTGACAGACATTTTTTATCAGTAATTTTGTCACTTGAATCTCACCTGAACAGGTTTTGGTTATAACCGTCTGAAAGATCGCTTCACTCCTGGACCACCGACGGAGCCACGAAAGGGATTAGCAGCGCTGTGTCCTGTCGTATTTCGGTTACCGTCTCCTGCTGAAGGACATAAATCTGTGGGGACATTTCGCGTGGACATGGTCCAGCCAGATAGTCAATCATTTGTTGTTTAGGCCAATCACACAACGATATATTTGAGAAATATCAGCCTCACATATACGCTTTTATTCAATCGAATCTTCGTCATCCAGCTAAAAGCAAGTACATATACGATGCGGAAAGAGACCATGTGAGTGTTTCTTGTTATCCATCGTTAGTAATAAATACGCTACTAGTCCGCTTGGGGAAGGGTGTATTTTCCAAGCACCGGGCAATTTTGAAAGTACTGCGGATTTCGTAAAGCTACGAAGTTGGATTAGCTTCCGTTTTTCAAACCGACGTTGCACGAGCAGTGTTCGCAACCGGGGACTGGTTCGTCTTAGTGGGGGTATTTCGCTGGCTCCTATCGATTACTGTCGATCCCTCCTGTCCTGTGAAGATTTGTAGACTTTCGCAAAGCTATGCAATAGCATGAGCTTTGTATGTAAATGGCAAAGTTTTCGGCAACACCGAGCTGAGTAAATTGGCGTACTAGCGAAATGCCCCCCGGCCCGAAGCCCAACGGTGCCGCAGTTGGTACCATTCCTGTTGCGCCAATACACGGGATCGGCTAGAAACGTGTGGTACTGTTCATCGGACACTGGTCCTACGCTTTGCCAGTCGTTGGCCATGGAGAACTTATGTAGCGACCATAAATTTGTTCCTCAAAAGGTCACAGTATCTGGGAAACAATCTTAGAAAGGTGGGATACGTTGCGAAGTTAAATGAGTCAACTCATGCCATCACTCTTGGAACCTCCCCGACTGATTGCGACTATATCAATTCAGTCTCACCCATCCTGTCCTCCTTTCCATCTATGCTTTAGCAGCCCTCACTCTCCTATCTCTTAATCGCTTATTACCTCCTTCCGAAAAATGTCGTCCGAAATACCAAGAATTCAGAGAGACGGTGTAATAGAAATTCATAACGTTTTGTAGCTTTACACGGTTTTACAAAATCGCCATGTATGTCCACAGTAGTTCACAAAATGCCACTCTAGCGGACAGTTTTTGATCCGCATGTGGGGGGGCGTGCAATCCTGTTGCTCGCGCGATTCGAGCGATCAGATCATGAAGGATAAACGCGCTCACAGATAGATCTCACAAGATGATTATTCACTTTCAGTGCATGTTCGGTGATATAGTCGAGGCGAAGCTCTATATTGTGGTGGTGTATGCCGGCAAAGTTTGTGAGAAAGATGCAACAATGCTGACATTCATTCAGCAGATGACCACCTCCCTGAGAGGATCTCGTTTGTTCCTTTCATTGAAAAATGCAGCCAAATAGGAAACTGTATCGATTTCGTCTTGTTTATCGAACATGGTCTAGTAACTCTCCTGGGATTCTTCACTCTGCTATCAAAGGAATGCTGAGTTATGGGCAAAAGTCAGGTTTCAGGTGGGAATCGGACCCGCATCTCCCGCTGACTGGGTGAGTGAGCTATACATTACGCCACGGGGCCATCTTGGGAGCGCGAACTGCGGCGTTAAACAGCACTGTGAGTTCTCGACCCCTGTCAGTTATCTCGTAGTTTGAATTGTGGATGGGTTAAAGAAATGTGTACTTGACTAGTGGATACCCTGAGTGCCCGCCTCTCTTCGGCTGACGGGATTACTGAGCCCAAATAAGCACTGGAACACCCTCGTTGATGGAGTCAGGGTACACCAAGAATGTTGTAATGATAACAAGAAACCCTTTTTCTTCGTAGGCATACACACTCCATTCCATTAGGAGCTTAGCAACTTAGGATCCAGCAAGGCTCGTTAAGCATGAGTTTCCTCTATATTTATTAGTTGAACTAGTCGCAAACAATTTGAGGGGAATGATACCCGTCGCATGTACAGTTAATATTGTCGCAATCAGTCGGAGCTGTGTCAAGGGGTGGAATGAACCCGCCTGATTCCGCTTTCTACCAATAATGGCTGGTCTAGACCGAGAACAACCAGTAGTAGAAAACGCCGCTTTCCACGCATCCTGACACTGCCCGACTGGTTCCTACGAAATCACCTGTAGCTTCTCTAGGATTTTAAAAGTGACCTGCTTCACATGGGTATTTGAAAAGATACGGGAAGCACAGTACCACCTAATTCTTCTTTTACTCCTTTGCTATTTTGGTAAGGCAGCTTTGTTATACGCTAAGTGTGTGTAAGAAATCGTCACCCGAACCATAGACGATACATTTCTCTAGGATTTTCTGCATGCTTCTTGTTTACCGTAATGGCCTAACCCTTCTCATTTCATTGATATATCCCACA